AATAGTGACAAAATTTTGTTCATTTTGAATTCTAATATTTTTTCTATTTTTCAGTTATATCTTTCAGTAAATTTAAATTCAGTAAGCAAATTCAAAAATTTGTTTTTAAACACTTAACAATTCAATCCAAGTTGCATTTTTCACAATTTACTGGATTATTATTTAAAAAAAAATAGGCAAAATACATTTCAAAATTTTATACTACTGTTATTCATATAGTTTCAACCAGTATTCAAATGGAATAATACCATACTGAAAGATGTGTACAATTTCCATACAAATTATTATAAAGTATTAATGTATCTATATATATAAAAATGGACATGTGTGTCCCTATATTTCACTTTTCCGCAAAAACTACACATCGCATGTGAATGGTGTTTGTATGTGGTGGTAGCCCAAAGTCTCCATTCGTGCATAGGGGTGGTTGCGTCTCGATAGCTATAAGGGTGCGGGAGATATGAGGCTGAAAGTGGTTGAAAGTGGCTTTCTATTTCGAATGTTTTGTTCGAATTTGTTCGAATTAAATTCGAACATAAAATTCGAATATTGGTTCGATTATAGAACGATTGTAAACGTTCCAGAAACGTTGAAAATAGTTCGTTTGACTAAACGTAAAAATTCTCTAATTAGTCTGGAAACGGGGGACCTAATTCTTGCATTCTGTGAAAACGGGTAAGATTAGCTATAATGTAATTATCTTAATCTTCACTATCGTTACTTTTTGCCTAGTGAAGCAGGTCCTTGCAGTTAGATTCTAGATTACTTAGAAAAACAGTCTTTTATATATATAAAAAAAACTATATTACATACAAATAAAAACCCAGCGAAGCAGGTCCTTGCAGCTAGTTGGTAATATTTTCACTGTAGAAAAATTCTAAGTTTCCAAAAGTTGCATTCACAACAAAACATTTCATCTAATATTTTTAGTGCTAGTTTGGAGTCAAAATAAGACTAGAATCCATTAAAAATACTTTAGTCAATTCTGGTTACTCATGTTCTAAAAGTATTCTCAAAACAAGATCATCATGCTTGAATAAAAATTTATTGTTTTAGGTAAAAAAATGCCACAGAATGTTAGAAAAATCTCTAAGAAAGTTGCAGACAAGAACTTGTCACACTACACTATATCCCAATGAGTCATTTTGAAATAGTGTGAAAGTGTGAGAAATGACACCTGATCCTTGTAAAGATGTAGCTTTTGACATCTCTATTAAAAATTCTGAAAGTTGCTAGATAATAGATGCTATGAGATTTAGGATTTTGCAAGGAAAGTTTTGCAATGCAAGTTGTTTATACATAAGAGCACAGATGAGTTTCACATCATCTCATGGAAGTCCAAGTATATGGTATGAAGTTGTCTGCATCTGCAATGCTACTGAGAAGAAAAAACAATTTTTTTCATCATATCATTGTCTTAATGAGACTTGGGTGCTTCCATAAAGTCAAACTGAACTCTCATCCTAAAAATGGCATCATCAAAAGTCTCCTCACAAAGAAATTTCATCTGAAGATTCAAAATTTAAGATGTTAATTGTGCATAAAATACTGAAAATGTTATACTAACTTATGTTTACCAAAGTAAAACAGTTATAAGCTACTTATTATGGCTCTTTTCTGGAACATCATCTCTAAATGGTAATCTGGCATAAGAATTTTCAGTTTATTCTCTTATTTCTTTCTTAATTTGTAAACTAAATTTTTGATAGAATATACTGTTTTGAATTTCAATTGTCTGACTTGCAAAAAGTACTCAAGTAACTATGCTATTTTTGACACACTATTTATTTTCTCACGTATGACAAAAATAGCATAGTTACTTTAGTTGCTGCAAGTCAGACAATTGAAATTTGGAATAGAATACTTAACCAAAAATTTGGTTTATGAATTAAGAAAGAAGTAAGAAAATATACTCATACTCCAAATCCTGTAAGACAGGGCTTCTTAAACTATGGGTCGTGACCCCATTTGGGGTCGCTTAGCGAAATCTTGGGGTCGCAAGATTTTAATGCAAAATATTGAAAATAATTTGTGAGAGTTTGAAAAAGGCACGCTTTGTGTTATAGGTTTTGTGAGTTGTGTCACTTCTGGTGCAGCGAGACAACGATTCAGCAACATTGATTGTAGTGTGAATTAGTGTAGTGTTGTCGCTTTTCAAGTATTCAGTTGTCTCTGTTCCATTGTAACACAAGAGTGAACTGTGGTAGTACACCATTATTGTTTTCGCAAATTTGTATATATCTTTATTTTACATTTTTTTGGGGTCGCAAAAAAATCACAATCATAAATGGGGTCGTGAATAAAAAAAGTTTAAGAAGCCCTGCTGTAAGATAATCATCAGTTTCTTGTCTATATAGCTATTACCTTGTATGATAATGCTACTTGCCATGTAATTGGTCTTGTAAAAGATTTAAGCATTGCTCATCTAACAAGGCATATATAGATGAATGACTGAATTTTACTATCAATTGCAAAAAGTACAGATATATTTTCACAGTTAGCAAAAAGTTATTAAAAAAAAAAAAAAAAAACTGAATATTCAATGTCTTGGATATGGAAAGTATTAGAGTACAATTCATAGATCTACCTGGATATGAGTCGTCGTAACTCTTGAAAAATGAAAAAAATCCAGCAACGAATTGCATAACTTTCCCAGCAATTATGACATCTTATTTAGAAAATAATTTTTATAATTTTAATTACAATATAACTTAATAAATTGTTTGTTGTGCCATCTATTATGAGATTTTGTTATAAAAACTTTTTATATTTTTAATTACTATAAAATGACTTAATTTTGAAAATAGAGATGAGTTTTATAAAAAAGTATAAATATTGATAATGATTAAAATCGTCACTGTCTTACCATATTGGTGATACACATGACCTACTTTATCTCCCTGCCTTCTTGACCTCTGATCATCAAAATTAAATAACATCACTCCCCTCATATACAAGCCACCATGCCAAATTTTGTTACTGAATATTTACACCATCCTGAGATGTTGAACAAAATAGATGCCAACATACACACATGGAAATTTTTGCCTTTTTGTTTTTGGTTTTTTTTTTTTTTTTTTACTTTTTGGATTCAGGAGGTCTCAAAACAGAGATTAGCAAATAACTTGGAGGGTCAAATCTGACACAATTCCAATACTTTCCCTTGTTGTGTATACATAACAGCCAGGAAAGTAAAATCCTTAGAGGTAGATGATTTCAGTTTTTAGACAAATTCTAGAAAGGCATAGAGGAATGCTCATCACCAATATCAATAAAAACAACTCTGCTAATGGAATATATAATTTTCCAAGCAATTATAGTTTCCTTTCATCTTACAAGATGAAAGAAATATATTCTATATTGAAGGTTTATAACAGCTAAAGTTAGAACAAAGAAAGGTTTTAAAATTTGTGTTAGCACTACTTTCCTGACAACCCTCACCTACCATAAAATTTTAAATAAATCATATATGTTCAGATAATTAGTAATTTTATAATGCACTGACCAATATTATTAATAGTATAAAAATCTAAGGATAAATAATCTTTTTATTTTATTATTATTACATGTTTTGGTATTACATAATCAGTAAACATGTTTTTCTGATTAGCAAAGTTATAGGATAAGAGTATCATACGTGACAGACATTTCAAATTAAACCCCTGAATTTTTTTACAATTTAGAATTCTCCATTAAAAAAGTAATAAACTGTCATTCAGAACATTTTTTCAAATAAATGATAATTTCAAAAATATATGAGCATATGTATTTGTACATTTTGAAAGAGTATGTTTTAATAAAATTGTAACTTTTTTAATGCACTGATTAATTTCCATTTTTTATTTTTATTTTTTTAAGTTATTTAATAAATGTTCAAGAGCTGTCCATTTTCATCTAAACATTTTAGTAATCAAGTAACAAAAATTTCACTGAACAGACTGCAACATTTCTAGTCTTATTTTAGCATAAACATTGCTTATTCTTTGCTTCAAATTTTAAATTTTGGTAGATTATTGAAATAAAACTTGATCTTTTATGAAATCCCATACAAATAATCACTTGGTGTCAAGGCTTGTGATCTAGATGGCCATGAAATTGGTTATCCATGTCCAATCCATCATTCTCCATACATACATATCTTTTGAATTCACTATAAAAAAAATTAACTTGTTAACTTTTCAATCACATTAAGAATTGATTAAAAAATTAACCATTAACAATTTTCAAAGCCATTTCCATTAATTAACTCTAAAATGTGTGTACTTTATTAGAAAGTTATCTGTCAAACCATACAAATACATAAATTCATATCTTTTCAAATTATCATTGTTTTGAAAAAATGTTCTAAATAAGAGATTATTTTTAAACAGAGAATCCAAAAATGTAAAATTACTGGGATTTCAATTGAAATTTTAAAGTTGCCCTCATCCCATCCATAAGGAAAGATGGGCGAGGCTTTATTTTTACAATAAAACAACTCTTGAAAATATTAAACTTCTATCATCAATTTTTTTTATAAGAATATTTTTCAAGTTAAAACTAAGTTTTTTTGTCTGTTACTAAGGATAACCTTTTCTTCATTTTTCTTTAAACAATGATGAATGCTTAATATAATTTGTCAATGATTCTGTATCTCAAATGTGGGCAATCAAAATCAAATTATATAAAACAATAAACACCAACTGTACCAGAAAACTGGAACTGTACATGTAGATACAAAATTACACCTCAATGCAAAATATCCAGCAAAGAAATTCAATATTCTAACGTTTTTGGCCACTATTTCAATGGCATTCTATTTATAGAACGGTTTTTCCATTTTACAGTTCCTGACAAGGGCCAATGAAATAGTGGCCAAAAATGTTAGAATATTGAATTTCTTTGCTGGAAATTTTGCATTGAGGTGAAATTTCTTATCTATCAAATTATATATTTTGATATTAATTAAACTTGATATTAAAAATGGTAATAAATGATTTTTAAATACTTAAAAAAATTACTTTTCTTTCTCTTCATCCCTGCTACAAGATGCTCCAAGAATCCTCAATCTTGCTTCAGCATATTCAGCTTCTCTTTGTTGTAATGTTTTAACTGGATGCTTGCTTGGAGACTTTTCATTTCCTGTGGATCCTGATTTGGTATCATTAGGTCTTTTCAATATTTTAACCTGAGGTACATACTGTGTTCGAGTTGTTTCTTCTAATTTAACTTGAGGAATTGGTAACATACCATCCCATTCTATATTTTCTTGATGACTGAAACAACATATATTTTATTTGTAATTTTAAATTTAGTATTTATATTAAATGAAACAACATAAACCTTTAAGAGATAAATGAGAAAGTATATACCCAATGAAGTGGATCTCTTAATGACAGGCTTCATTGGTCTTAATGACCAATATAATGGAATTATATTAGAATTTTTCACTCATAAAATATTCATTTCCCCCTGAAATTCTGTTTAAAATAAAAAATAGCATCTAAATTTGTATTGTAATTTCATTAAAATGAAAAAAGATCAAACTGCTTGCTATACCAATTGAAACTTTATTCAAGTGAAATGGACTTATTTTTGACATGTGCTCTTCATCAGGTATGGAATATAGAATACAAAATTTCAAATGTTAAAACTTAAACTAACAGTTTAAATAATAATGAAAGATGGACAAAATTCATAATTAAAATAATCAATTATATGAAACAACTCTTACATTATGGAATATAGAATACAAAATTTCAAATGTTAAAACTTAAACTAACAGTTTAAATAATAATGAAAGATGGACAAAATTCATTATTAAAATAATCAATTATATTTTTAATATTTCTCACTACTACCAGATATGATCTGCTAAATTATATTGGTTATAATATGGCTTTCTGATTTAGAAAAACATATTATAGCCAATAGAAAGACATAAAAAGAAACATTTTAGACACACAGTAATTATGAAATAAATATTACTATTAATTTTATTATTATTCAGACAAATGCTGTATGCTGAAGAAAATATTAAAGCATATGCTTAAAATATATGATCTACATTAGAAAATCTTTTCTCTAGCATAGTGATTATTGTTAAAGTACAGATGAAACTCATTTTAAATATTTACTATAAAAATATCAAATGTCATTTAAGCAAGTACAGTAGGGCACTGCCAAACATGACCAATATGTCAATATGTTCCAAGGCCCCTCATATAAGCTGAAATTTGCTTAAAATAGCAATTCTTTTTAAGTATTTCCTATACCAACAGACCTATTGCACATTTTTCATCCAAATACGATAAATGCTGTATTAGTAATAAATAGAATATCACCATAAATCATAAAAATCATTAAAAACTTTCAGAAGAGACTTTTTCTTTTCTCACTGAATTTAAAATAAAATTTTTTTTCTTTAAAGTAACTACTTTACAGCTCATTTTTGGCTTATCAAAGCTACCAGCATTGCTATCCTTGTATTTTGGAGCCATGTTTGCAAAGTAAGATAGGCACTGATATCACGTGGACATGATGTGTTACAAGTGAGAACTTTAGACAAATACTGATGTGAGTGCCAGTGTTTAGTGCAAAACAAAGAAATAAGTCATAGTAATGCTTTCCCAGAACAAGAATGAGTGAGATGCTGCAAAACTTCATGCACATTAAAAATTAGCACAAATTTAGCACAAAAATTTAAGAATTTTTATTTAGCATATTTTCCACTTTTTTTTTTTTTGAATTTTCAATAGCATAAATGTGAGACTTATACAACAAGTCCATATATTGTGGTGTCCTTGTATAGCAATTCAAAATATAAAAAAAATGAAAAATTAATTTAATTTAGTAAAGTACAAAATTTGTTGTTATTATATTAATATATAAATAATAATNCTACGGACTCGAGACTTATTAAGCCTCCAAAAGTCAGAAACGAATGGAAAACTAGCAGTTTTCCGTGTACTAATGAATAGTACAATTACGGTTAAAAAATAGTTTACTCTATTTTCGATATAGTATGTTATTTTTTAAATTTGTTTGGTTATATAATGTATTAGTAAGTTGTTTATTTAATATTTAATGGTTTAATGTAATAATTTTTAAAAATTTTCGAAAACTTTAAATTTCATGCGTATTCGAAAGCTTTATGTTCATTTTGGAATGATAGTTTCTGATGATAGCCTATAAGAATAGGCTGAAAGTCTTTGAATATTAAATCGCAGTAAGCTTAGCAAGTGTTCTGGTGTTTAATTTTAGTCGTTCGATTATGACATTTAATTTTTTTGAAGTTTCTAAAAATGTGATTATTTTATCTGATAATTTGATAATTATTATAATATAACACAACCGTAAATTTACGAAGCAAATAACTAATGATCTAACATTTTTGGCCACACTCAAAGTCTTCATACATTTGTACTTGACAGGTCCCTTCTCTATCTTTTGTGTCATCTCTTTCAGCACATTTTGACCATCTCTTAGAAAACACAGAATATCTCTGTCGTTTATTTTCAATTCTTTTAAAACTGTTTTTGCTCCAAAACCAATATTCAAATTCTTCAGACGTACGAAGTTTACATTCGCATCTAAATCAATTTTCATGAACTGCTTATCAGTGACCCGATCATTTTTCACAAACTTTCACACAAGGTTCATTAATAATTGAACAACTGGTTGTTTCAGTTTGTATTCCAGTACCACAAGCCTGTAAGTATTATTTAGACTGCCACAGAATATTATTATTATTAATCATTTCATTTTATATTTACTGATGTAAATACACCCTTCACTATATCACAACTAATCAAGACAATCCAAACTTAAATGGACAATTTAAAAAAACAAAAAAAATTTCACTACAGCTAAAATAATAAAATTTACTGTAATAAACTAATAATATAAAATTAATAATGACAAAAAACAATCACATATTAACGAAAAAGTATAAATAAATGTAATATCTTAATGTTGTTATAATTTTTTAATGTTTTAAAAAATACCTAATTTTTATTAATAATCATTTAATTTCATTAATTAATTAAAAGTTACACTAAATATAGAGTACGATAAATTAATTTATGTACATTTAGTAATAAAAGTATAAAAACTATCAGCATGGCTGACATTTCGACAAACAAAGGAAGAATTAAAAACATTAAAATTCATGATATATGTTTATAATTTTAATTTATGTACAGTACTAATACTTACATATAGTAAAAATTAAATAGCATACTATCAGATAACAGAAAAGCTACATTTACAAATATGATGAATTTATAGAAAGCGTCTTTGAAACAGACTGTATCAAAAGCCATTACATATCATTTCCACTCAATCAACTGTGAAAGCAGATTATCAGCTCTAGGCTATTATAAAAGTAAGATTAGGACAAGACTCCACTAGCGTAAAAACTTTTAATCATTTGACCATGATATTTTATGCCAAAGCAGGTTGTAAAACCAGCATAAATTGAGTTGAGCAGTGTTCAACTTTTGACGCAAATGCATCCGTAAAACATTACCACCCACCAATCAGAAGTCAGTAAAATCTCAGTCATTGAGACATGGTGAGAAAATGGCAGAAAACAAACTTTTGTGTATGTTCTCTTGTGGCTATGTGGAAAAGACCTAGAATAAATAGATCTGAAAAGATTTATCAAAAACATTCTAAAGTATTCATGTATCTATGACAAGAGGTATCCTGATTATAATAACAGATGTCTAAAACAAGTGAAATGGATGGTCAAAAGAAAATTTTTCAATTTAGACTAGTATATAATAAAAAAGCTAAGCTATAAAGCTAATAAAAAAGCTAAGTTTAGTATAGTATCTTAATAATACAATAATAATAATTAATATATGAAAGTATAGATATTATTTTTACTACATTTGTAATCATAGTACAGAAAAAAACTCTTAGAATATAATCGTCGTCTTTATATCTATATATGACATATACAACTGTAACTTCGATAGTACCGTCAAAGTAAAAACTTGACTAGGAGAGCCAAACCTCCACCGCAATCCTAATGTAAACAGGTCACGTGATTAAAAGTATTTACAGTGAAGGTTTTTACACTCATTTTTAGGCTAATGGTGTCTCCGCCTTAGAGTTGAAAAGATATCAAAGTAAGATTACAATCAAAAAATGTAGACAGAAGCATGGTATATAGTTGTCACTTTAAACAAAAATAATGAGTGCAATTAAAGTTGTAGAGAATGATTCATATCAGCTACTCGAGTAGTTGACAAAAAAAAAAATTCACCAATGGTCCGAATATTTATATTTCTAAATAAAAACATACATTGGATGATAGAAAACAAGTTCAGGCATCAACAGAACCTCAAATTAATCTAAATTGATAAAAAGTATAACTGAAAAGATCTAAAGTTCATGGCACTGACAGTGGCTATTGGCATGGAAAGGGATTAAAGTTTTAAAAACAGCTTATTAGCAATATAAGCTTGTATAATAGGAATATTAATTAAATTCTCTTACTCTGCAGAATATCAGAATTTAGTTCCACTTTCTATCATGTTATTAATTGACCATTATGTTATTAATTTCAGTTTTTTTGCAATTAATTTATTGCATCATAGGGAAATCAAACACTCTTCTTCAGTTGTGCCATTTTTAGATTCTTGGCAGAGTATTAGTGTAGTGCAGGGGTAGGCAACCTTTTGAGTCGAAAGAGCCAAAAATTACAATTTACAAAATTTCAAAGTTTTTAAAGAGCCACAGAATTTTTTCTTGCCAACAATAAATAGTACTCACATAATATCCAACAGTAGTACTTAGTTTCTTTTTTGACAATTCTTATTGACTTCAAAAAGTAGTTAGGTATCTTATTTGGAAAAAAATATGTATAGTATGTATTTTAAAAATATAATAATTATTATGTTACCTATCTTTACTTCGTTTTATTATTATTATTATATATATGTACATACATAACTTTGAGAAGATAATTTGCTTCTTTACTCGAAACAACAAACTATACGTCACAGTCAAAGCACTGGTGAATACGCCAAATTGTCTTGCGTCGAAAGCGAATTAAACCTCATAGAAACATCCGACGACGGCGTCATTCGAGAGCTTCCGACGGACTGACGACAGTGACGACGCGTGTCACGGGGGAGGGGTGCGGTGAAAAGCGAGTACAAGTGGCTGAGAGATAGANTTTGATATGAGATAGCGCTATTAGGATCGTCACTTTATTGTTTATGAAATAGTACTACTATTTCAGAAACACGTGTCAAGTTTCAAG